CGGCAAATTATTATCAACTACCTTGTTCGCCTTTGGCTTTACCGCACTATAATACTTGCTGTTCCTGTGGAAATGTGCGATGGGCCCGATGGCCATCGAGATGTTTTGCACAATCTGCATCGCAAAGAACTAGAGAACAGTCAGCATCCATCCGCACACCCCAGCTCGAACACTCACCAACGAAACACAATACAAAAAGGGACTACAGGCCAACAGCGCAAACCTCGTAAAGTCGCCATCGAGCCTCCACTCCATCAACAGCGTCCTCACCCCATTCCCCACAAACACCAACGCAAGGCCCGCAGCGAGCCCATTATACGCCGGCGCATACAGCTTCACCGGCCTCTTCCTCCCTTCAAACCGCCCCTGCTGCCCCTTCTCCACAACAGACACGTCATCCCGACTCACACCAAACTCGTCCGACTCCGCCAACTCATGGCTCTCACTCCCAGCCGTACTAACATAATACTTCTTCCCATACCACGTCCTCTTCGCCACCCTCTCCGACCCCCTCCCACTCTTCTCATCAAGCGCCACCCCCCTCTCCCGCCCAAGCACAACATCATACCCCTCCGGATCCCTCCCCAACTCTCCAAACACACCCTTCACAACCCCCCCATGCACCCTATACAAACTCGGCGCCCGACTCTCCGCACTACTAAACGCCGCACTCGCCCTCTTACCACCCCCAAACGCAGACGGCGGGGGCGGCGGAAGCGCAGGCGAGCCAGTCCTCTCCCCACCAAAGCTACTACTGCTCGCATCAACCCTCCCGCCCACGCTCTGCCGTTTCTGGTTCAGACTACTATCGCCGTTGACAGCAGCATGCGGCTGCAAAGGAGCCCCGCTCCCACTGCTCAGGCCGCCCACACTCGCCAAGCTACCATGCGCCACCGAGCTGCCCCCGCCGTTGCCACCGGTAGACATCACAGGGCGGGACCTCCATAGCAGCTTGATCAGCCGCTCTTCAAAGTCCTGGCAGAGGGGCACGATCCGGTCGATGCTCTCGCTCCATATCACCATCACTCTCTCGTCGCGCTTTAATAGAACGGGTCAACTGCGTTCCAAACTGCAGAGAAAGAGAGAGAAGACTCACGATGAACGCAGCGCACTGCTCCCTGTCCGCCTGAGGGAGCATCAACATCGTATCCACGATCTGGATACGCGTCTCCGCATCCACGTAGATGTATCTATCATCTGCTGAACTGTGGGGACGACCGGGTTCACAAGATGGTCGAGAGTGAGAGATTCACGCCAGCCATGTATCCAATCGCGTCCGTGGTCGCGGAAAAGAGTCGAGTTGTCGCGGCGCCAAGCCAACGATCGAGGACAAATCCGATCAGATCAAGCGCATCAAGCGCGCAAGATGCATGATCGTCCCAGTAAGCGCGCAGCGGCAGGAGAGTGCATCCATAGGCCATTCGAGACAGATGTAGGGTGTTTAAAAGGGAGCGATGGTATAACGAAGCAAGGGAAGGATAGAAATTGTAAACCGCAAGGAAATGAAACGATTGTCGCGAAGCGTGTACCGATAAAAATTGAAAAAAGGTCGAAAGGTCGAATACAAACAGCAAGCGGAAATCCGGGAAGATGAAAGCACAACCATCGGTCCCACAATTATCAAAGGTTGACAGATCCATACAACCACGACACAATACATACCGAATTGACAGGGAAAATGTACGCCGACGTCGTCCAGTTCCAAATTCGGGTCAAACGGGTTATCGCAAGGCACCGTCGTCACACAGTGGGTCCACCATCAGCGCGAGGCGAATTTCATGGTAGCGTCATAAAGTCGTGGATAATAGCAATGATAGAAAACAAGGTCAGCGTACATTCCAAAAGTTTGAAGAGAAGCAAAACTGGGAGCAAGCGCCTCCGCAAAAGGCTGGCAACGCAAAATGAAAAAAAGATAACAAAGTATCCAAGTGGGAACGCGCCGTTGCCACCATCAAACAATGACGTTTAAATACAATACGCACACTTCTCCCAGAGCAGCATGAACAGCTGCAGACCGGACTTTGACAGCGACGACAGGGTTGAGAGCAGCGACGGCCGTTTCAAACGGCTCGAGACTGGCTTCTTCATAGGGAAAGACGCGAAACTCGGGAGTGCCAGAATGTGCAGCTAGAGAAAGGGTTAGTGCAGCTTTTAGACGCGTAGTAGTGGTACGGACCGTCGGATACTCTTAGAGCGACACCAGAGGAAATACTCTCCTCGTTGGGCCTAAACCAGGCGTCTCCCTGAGTCTGGCGAAAGAGCCAGTGGAGGAGAGCGTCGTTTCTGTCATAGTCCATGGGTGGAGGAGAGGAGAATGAACGAGGGGGAGTTCACTGGCCAGCTTGTAATAAGTGAGGGCAGATCTGAGATCCGATCTGGAGATCTGGCGGTGTCTGGGGTCCCGAAGCGTTATCACCTCGAGGATTTATGACGTCAATGGTGCTTCAAGCTTCAGTTCTTCCCTCTCCAACGATGGCGGAAGAGGTTGTAAAGAAAGCAGGTCGACCCTTCTTTTTAGCTGGAGCGAGTGGAAGCCAGACCTCTGTGCACAGAATGTCTGCCCAACGCATCGATCCCTCCGAGCCTCTGCGGACTCCCTCGCCTGGCGGGCTGTTCCAACCACGCGCCCGACCTCCGCCCTCGTCCTTTGCCTTTCCGTTCCAGGCGTACCCAGGCAACCCAGACCCAGGGATGAGCATTCCCGGCTACTCGAGCAGACGCAGGTCGTCGATCGACAGCACGGGCTCGTATCGCGGCGACATTGCAGCCCCGCCAATTTCGCGCAAACGGGCGTCATCGCTGTCGACCACACCGCCCGACGAGCTCTCGCCACCCAACGCGCCGTTCATGGCAGCAACGAGCGGGACAAGCAGCGGGGCAAGTAGCGAGTCCAACAGTCTCCGCCAGTCGCCCTCGTCCAGCTCGCTCTACAAGGCCAGTGCAGCTGCGTCTGCCAGTCTCCCGCGCAACAGCTCGACCCACTCGTTCCGCGCCGCCTTCCTCGCGCCGTCCTCCCGCCCAAGCTCGACCATCTGGACACCCCCACAGGCGCAGTTCGTTCCCAGTGCACTCGGCCAAGACCCAGCCGCGTCCACTGCCTTTCTCTCCAAATCCCGTCCTCCGATGACTAGCACCCGCCTTACAGCACCTCTCACCAAGGACGACAAGCCCTGGCTCTCCTCCCGCCAGCCAAAGACATACACCTCCTACTTCCTCACCCTCTTCTGCATCTTCCTCGGTCTCTGTGGAGCAGCCGCCCTCTGCTATTTCGGCTACACAGAGGTCAACGTCCTCGACCCCTCCCGTCTCTGCCTCGAGATGGACGAGCAGTTCACAGGTGGCCTCAACCCCGACTACTGGAACGTCGAAATCCAAACAGGCGGCTTTGGCAACGGCGAATTCCAAATGACATCCGACAGCTCCGACAACCTCTTTGTCAGGAACAACCAGCTCTACATCCACCCCACACTCACAACCGAGGCTCTCCCAGACGTCGACATCTTCAACGGCGGAAACCGTACCCTCCCAGGCTGCACCGCCGACGACGAGTCTGTTTCCAGCTACGTCGGTCCCGCCCAGGGGGGCAGCAACCGCAGACGCGCAAGCTGCACCGCAAGCTCCAACAACCTCCTAGGCGCCGTCATCCCCCCCGCAATCAGTGCACGCATCAACACCAAAGGCAAAAAATCCATCCGCTACGGCAAAGTCGAGATCCGCGCAAAGCTGCCCAAGGGCGACTGGCTCTGGCCCGCCGTCTGGATGCTGCCGCAGGACAACCGGTACGGTGCATGGCCGATGAGTGGTAACACCCCATCTTTCTTCTTCCTCTTGACCAACCTCTGACGACCCGTCCAGGTGAGATCGACCTGGTGGAAGCCCGGGGGAACGACCAGGCGTATAAAGGCCAGGGCCGTAACTTTGTGCGCAGCAGCCTCAACTACGGTCCGCTCCCCTCGCTCTACACCCAGATCTACGGCTGGCAATCCCTCAAACGCTCCTCGTTCGACCAGGCGTTCCATACCTACACCCTCGAATGGACCCCCGAGTTTATCCGCATGTTCGTCGACAAGCGGCTCTACTCGATGCTCGAGGTCGACAAGCTCCGCGCGGACAAGACCGTACGTCCTCTTTCTCCTCGCATTGCCCATCGGCGCTAACTTCCCAGCAGAACTTTTGGGCACGCGGCAAGTACCCACAGGTGGCGACGAACTGGACCGCAGATAATACGGGCAACGGCGAGATGGTGGTCGTGAACGATATCTGGAAGGCCAACGACGGTGCGCCCAATGCGCCGTTTGACCAGCGTGCGTCGCCGCCACTTTCTTCGTGCACCCCCTTTTTGCTGACGACCGTTTAACCCGCAGCATTTTACCTGATCGCCAACCTCGCAGTGGGCGGGACTAGTGGTTGGTTCCCGGATGGAACGGGCGAGAAGGCGTGGTATGATAAAAGCCAGACCGCCATGCGCGATTTCGCGCTCGACCAGGCTCGGTGGGCGCGCACGTGGGGCGGGGTGGATGATAGGAGTTTGAGGCTGTGAGTGCTGGTTGTTTTTTTTTGGTTCCAGATGCTGATTATTGGTGCGCTTAGGGATTCGGTAAAGATGTGGTCGTTGTGTCGTTGAGATGAATCATGACAGTGGACTTTTTTCTTTTTATAAATGCTTTCGTGCTTTCAACGGTCACCATAAACAAACACTTTCAAGGTTTCATTGAATTGGGGTTCCGGACATTACATAGATCGATAGGACTACCTACCTATACCAACCACCGCACTCAAACACGACAAACGTACATACTTCTTTCATTTATCATTTACCATTCACGCTTTATTGTTATCAACAGTAATGTTAAACCGCAGATACAATAACACACGTTCGCGTCAACTCGACCCTACAGCCTATAAATAAACCTTGGACACTTTGAGTTGCAACTTCCCAAGTCGGCGACGACCCAATAGTACTTGCGCATAGCAAAACAAAACGCCAAAAAGCAAAGCAATCCGACCTGCCTGGCTCGAACAGGCGACCTCAAGATGATCTCCACATTAACCAATTACAGTCTCGCGCTCTTCCAACTGAGCTAAGGTCGGTTCGTCCTACGTTTCCGCCTGTTTTTCTGCGCCTCGCCAACTTTGCAATCAAGTATATAACCCCGTACGCAGGACTCATGTAACAGGTTGCGGCAGTCGAAGAACAAAAAAAAGGCTGGTTTAGGAGGCTAGTAAAGTTGCCAGGTTCCAACAACTATAGTCTACGTATGTAGGGGGAGGAGAGAAGCGCAAAACAAAAGATCCGACCTGCCTGGCTCGAACAGGCGACCTCAAGATAATCTTTAGCCAATTACAGTCTCGCGCTCTTCCAACTGAGCTAAGGTCGGTTTTACCTTTCTTCCCGCCTGGGATTCACAGTCTCGGACCCAAGTGCCTAGTCAAGTGCCTGACTAGTACTTAGTGCTAAGTAGCAACTACTGGACATGATGCAAGCTCCAAGATAAGAAGATACGGCCTTAGATCGATTCGAGAATCGAGTCAAGATGTTAATCAAGTGTCGGCGCATGACGCTGCTTATCATTATCTCTAGCGTACTCGTAGCGCGTTTACCATATCAAACAAAATTCCAACCTAATCCATCTGTTTCGTAGCCTCATTATCCATCCATTCACCCAATACATTCATTCAGTCGTTCAGTCGTTCAGTCGTTCAACACACTTCTCGATTCTTGATTCATAGGCAGTGACCTCCACAGCCCTCCTAAAATCCGACATCCAAGGCGAGGAACCAAAACCCACCCCACAATTAATAACTCGGATGTCCAAGGTGTCTGTTCGACAGAGTCGATTCATCCAACCTCCTCCCGCGGCGGCGTAATCCTGCTCGCAATCTCATCCCCAGACCCGTAAGTACCTCCTCCTTGCAGCACTTGCATAGATAATTCTCCACAACAAGCCTCCCTCCAAATCCCAGAAAACGAAACCCACACCCCAAATAAGCAAAGACATGCCCAGATCAAGCGATCAGCACTCCTACCATCACGCCAAGCACCGCTATTCTGCTACCCAATGACAACGTACCGAGCAGGCAGTCACTCGCATCAATACACCACACCACACAATTCGGGATGACGCGACAACGTCTGCCTGGCCGTCTCCACGCGTCGCTGTGCCCTCGGTGGAAGCGAAGCCACCAAAAAAAGCCCAACACGCGTCATAATTAATTTCTTTACCTACATGGTCCTGCCAGATTACCCGCGCACGCAACCTCCCCAACTCCTAACCTCCCAACACAAACGAACACTTGCTTTCGTTCCCAGCAGACAGCAGCATCAATCCATACTCGCATCCATCGCAAACCCTTTAAAGCGCATGTTATCTTGAAGGACGCACGCAGACGCCGCCCCTTCCGAGCTTCCGGGCCTAGCCTATATGGGTCTCAGCACACTCCAATCATAGTTATGCTCCAACGCCACACAACACTGTACCACGCCGAATCACTCGACAGTCGAGGCCGGCTAACCATCATGCAACATGCATCTCGGGCATCCACCCACCACAATTAAAAAATAGGCGGATATCGATATCTATGTACATCCGCTGGTTCGCTCATCAACGCATCACTTGGAACAGAGCTTAGAAGACTGCCGGACCGTTAGATACGAAACCCAACAGATCATACCACCCTACAAACCTACACCCTTATCATCAACAGATTGCCACACATCGTGCCCAGTCCATAGCACAATGACCACCTCTCGAACCGAATTTCATACTGCCAACTCCTCACTCACCTCGGCTCCACTGATATCCAAGATTCCTTCCCAGGTCGAGCCACGGCGGCCCCCTCCGGCCTCCCTACAGGTTTGAAATCAGGCCAAACATCAAAGATAAGGATACGAGCAAAAGGAAGCAAACCCGCTTGAAACTCGAGGGTCAGAAGGCTGGTTGACGGCCTTGACGCTTGATGCTCCGAGTCGAGCGTATCCTGTCAGCGCACCCAACGCAATCTCTCGGATTCTCTTTCTCCCAGAGTATACCGCCAGATACGGCCTTACTCGACATTCATAGCCTGTCAACGAGGATCGAGGCCAGCGGGGATGGCGGATTTCTGTACGCGCGAAGCCCGCAAGATCATTTCCACCGACCAAAACGCAGAAGTTGAAGGCGATGATCACCTCGATGCGTTTATCTCTACTCGTCTTCGCCTTTCCTTGTCTCTGCTGTAGTTCCAACAAGGCCGAGAAAGATATAGAGCCAGAAAACGTGTCTCAACATGAACCCTGACAAAGAGTCTTCGAATGAGCTACACCATTCTAGGGAACAACAACGACCTACTAGCCGCGATGCTCCCTTCAACCGGTCCGATTCACTCGAGAAGGTCGGTCAAGAGCAAGCAACGAGTCCACACAATTAGCATCGAACCTAGGTTTCCAACTGATCCGTGGGTCAGGGCATAGATAGAACCCTCGAAACAATGCGATCCAGATACGCCAGCCGGGCAAAGACGCAGCACCTAAACCCGAGGCCCAGCCAAAAAGTCCACACAGTCCGCGTCAATCCTCCAGGCCCAAGTAGCAACATAAACGGCCACACCCCCGGCAGCAACAACGAGCATAGTTTGTTTCGACTTTCAGTCACTTCCATGCACCAAAGCCTAAAGTAAAGCAACACCCGATGAGATACGCAATGTACGTCACCATGTAGATAGAGCTTACCTGCCTCCAGCAAGAAGCCACATCCTAGTGCGCAGGATATCTATCTGTGCCTAAGAGCCCATCAAAGCCTTCAGAAACGTGAAATGAACAGCGCTAATGGAACCAAGGGTACCAGGGGGCCCAGCAACACCCAATCAGGATCAAATCGCCGACTCCCAGCACATCCATCCCCAAGCAGGCTGAAAGCCCAGCAGATGAAAATATTAATCTTCAAATCAGGACGTACCTCCGGAAGCGTGGCATGCAAACAACAAAGAAAAGGCGTTGCGATCCGACAGATGAAATTGAAGTTCCTGTCAGCGAGATAAAAAGGACCAGCGCGGTGGCGTACTCTTCGTGACGCATTCTGAGTCTTTTGGCCCGAGAAGGGAAGTCCGCCAGATGGCTCTCATCGCGATCATGACGATGACAAAAGCCGTGGATCGCCATAGTCAAGCTTCATTTGACTACACGTTATGAAGCGTCAGGCATAAACAACACTCTGTGGTTGGGTAGAAACCGCGTCGACCATTTGGGCAGTAAGGGATATCTAGGAGACAACGGGGGACGCACCCTTATCATGCACAGGTCGTGTTTGTGGCGTCCCAGTGAGAACAATGCGTTACAACTATGTCCAACACAGTCCAAGTGAGAGGGCGTTTAATGCACTGTCTGCCAAAATAACTCGAGTTGTTAAGTGGTCGGTCATCTGGTCTTATCACCCGGGTACGACACAGCACATTTGTCGAAATGAATGCACCGTTGGTGACGATTAACCTGTTTGGATGAACAACCTGATCTGGTGAGAAAGCACCTACGCGTCGGGATATGATGTGTTAATTACACGTCGCCGAGCTTGAAAGAGTGCAACAGCACAGCGTTGGTTGCACAAGCTTATAGCTCAACAAGCGTCGTGACCACAAAGAGGTACCCAGATACGACCTAGTAGCAGAGAACTTGCTGTATGTGGAATTGTCATCCAACATCTGGCGTGGCTTTGTGGCCAACACGGCCGCCAGCGAGCAATCCCAGCTGGGCCTTCAAGAACTCTCGACCTTCCCAAGTCTTGGTCCGTGAGTTCATCGTATCCGCCTTTCTAATGTCCACCGAAAAGCCTTTGTCGTCTTTCTGAAGGAGATGCAGGTGGTCTGGTCTGTAGTTGAGCTGCACTGGGCAACCGCGCCAAAGCCCAGTTTGGTCACATTCCCACGCCCTCTAATTGGTACGATTCAGACTTCCGAACGGTGGTACCGTCTATCACGACGCAATAGCTGTTTCTCCCTGCGTAGTCGCGCAGACCACATACTCTATCACCAACACCGACAGCCTCAACTCACAATGGCGAATCGTGCTCTAAACGACGATGAGGTGGTGACCGAGATGAACAAGATGGTGCGCCCTGACATCCTCTGGCACCACATTTCCATATCCTGATTCGAAACTATGTTCGGTATAGGTCTTGTTCATCAAGCAAGAGGCACAGGAGAAGGCTCGGGAGATTCGAGTAAAAGCTGACGAAGAATTTGCCATCGAGAAGGCAAGTCCACGCCAAACACTCTGCACAGCGGCCCCCCCTCTAACATTGAGATCAGGCCCGACTTGTGAAGCAGGAACAACAAGCCATCGACTCACAATTCGAGAAGAAGCGCAAGCAAGCAGAGATTTCCCAGAAGATGTGCGTATCCGAGCACCGTCTCCGCTGTATCTCTGCTCACCTGTCGCGATTCCCTGTTGACAGTGCCCAGTCAAATCTGACCAACAAGGCTCGGTTACGACTCCTGCACCGAAGGGAGGAGCACTTGCAAGATCTCTTCAATACGACGCGAAATGCCATCTCTACGCTTTCCCAAAACTCAGACCGTTACATCAAGTTCTTGGAAGACGTCATCCTTCAAGGTTTCCTCCAGCTCATGGAGCCCGACGCTACGGTCTTGTCCCGCAAGATCGACGTCGATGCAGCTAATAAGGCTGCTGAGCTTGCAGCGGCAGGATACAAGAAACTGAGCGGCCGCTCTGTTTCGTACGAAGTAGAGGGTACCCTGTCTGACGATTTGTACGCGTTCCCTCCGATATCGCATCTCAAATTCCCCTGACATCATATTCTCCAGGGCGGGCGGTGTGAAGTTGATCAGTGGAACCAGACGGATAACACTGGACAACACTCTGGATGAACGCCTACGACTGTTGGAAGACAGGGTCAGCTCCCTCTTGATTCTATGTGCAATCCTTTGGGAACTGATTGACTTCCGTCGACCTAGATGCTGCCAGAAATTCGAAAGGATCTGTTTGGCATCAACGAGAACCGAAAATTCTACACATAAATCATTTGCTTTTCTACACCATAATAACATTACCATTTCGTCAGGATATTTGTGACCAAAACGTGGTCGGATTCGTGCGCCTTGACTAGCAGAACTAAAATAACCAACCAACGTTGTTGGATCGAGCAAAAACTATGCATTAAGAGGGAATCGAACCCCCGGCGGGTCGAGCTTGTGCTCGCAATGGCCAACTCGAATGGCAACGACCCAGGTTACCACTACCCCATTAATGCTTATGAGTGTTCTTTGTGAGGAGAGTCCACGATGTTAAAGCTTGAAGTGCGTTCATGAACCAGATGTCAATCTAATAATCGGATGACAATTATTTTCATTGCTACGTACGCGCTACATACGCTCTCTAGCAAGGAATCATGATGTGGTGTGCAATGTGGACACTCAGACCGGGTCGAACGTCAAGGTCTCCAGACAGAATTTTTACCGTTCAATTTAGACGGCTTGAGAAGGGAAGATTGGCCGTTAGGCCAGGGTATGAGACCCAATGCTCATAGGGTCACGATGTCCTTTCTGTTTCATAATATGGGGTAGTACTACAACCTACATGCAGGGTATGTAGTGAGACAGAAATCATTCCTCGATATCTGCTGCTTTACGGGATCCTGTGCGCGGCAAAGAAGGCGGCAATTGTGAGCCGCAAAGCCACCCACCGCAGTTTCAGACAGCTACCAGGACGATTGACCAATTTACCCAATTAGGCATTGTCGAATATCGAGGCTCATCGTGAGCCAAACCAGAGGCCCAATGCGCACCGACAACGATCAATAAGCGCCCAAAATGCTTCGCCCACTCTAAGAAGCCTCCAACCTTCAAGCTACTGAGGCTCGGAAAGATGCCAGTGGCTTTAAGTTGCCTTCGAGTACGTAGGACTTTTGATTTGGGCTGCCCCTCCCTCCCGTCCAATACCATCCGATTCGACCATACAGGAGTAGCAAATATCTCTGGATTGTAGTCGTGTATTTCAAGGTACAATAAATTCGTAAAATGTTACAGATGGGGGCATAAGCTAGAAATACAAAGGATGTACAACACAGGTAAATAAGTATTTGAATAACAAGATCTAATCAATGCTTGGAATAAATCGAAATAATTATAGTTGGGTGTGGTTTTCTTCCTCTGTCACTGTGGAGCACCACCATGACAATTGGATCACAAAAGCCTCGTCGAAATGTATAGGTTTCGCCCTGGAGCAATCAATATATCAGACGTGGACGGGGAAACAAGATGGACGAGCGTCGAGGTCGCAGAACAGATGATGGCTCAAGCCACAGACGTCTGTACTGTTGATGGTATGCTCACGCTCCCTCTCCGATCGGTATGTTCAAAGTAGGCACCCCATTGTGTCCACCAGTCGTCGACCGACTCGCTAGCATCATGCGTGCAGATATCCAAAACACCTCCCCAAACCATCTTGAACGTTGCTTCATCCATATGTTCCCAGTCCTCGTAGGCAAGTGCCTTGCGCATGACGTCGTCTCGCCTGTGCATTGCGACAGCAGGAACCGTAAGCATCGCTTGCTGCTGCACCTCGTGTGCATGCACTGATGCCACCCGTGGTTGACGAATCTCTTCATATGCCGTCAGAAGCTGCGAGACCTGATTCCGATTGGTGATTCTCGAGAATAGATTCCCGAGTGTGAGGGCGTCCTCCAAGCCCAGCCCCGTGGAATGGAAACCAGAAGGCTAGGAGATTTACATTAGATTGAGATAATCTCTAGAGAATGTAAGCCAAGGGGCATGCATACCAATAAAGGATGTGCCGCCTCTCCGACGAGGACGATACGCGCCTCATCGCACACAAGAGATTCGAGATGCGGTCGAACTCGAACTATTCTGGCAGAGAACCGGTTCGTCGACTTTAAGAGCTTCAGCGGTCTACGGAGCTTCAGCACGAATTATGTCCCAAGAGGGCAAATGCCGTACCTTGGCTCAAACCGGGAGTAATCTAGGTCCCATTGATCAAGGGAGGAGAATGATTTCCATTCTTCGTCCCCTTCCTTTAATGGACCATTATAGGTGTAGACAAGAGACACTGAGAATTCCTTTCCGCCGGCCTTATCGTTTAACATTAGGTTTGACCCGTATAGCGCTGCATTCTTATCTCACCAGCAGATGCCCTCGCAGGATGTAGCCATCTCCTAAGAAAAGTGTCCACTATATTACTGATGTATGAGCGCTGCACACCTTTATATCTCAGTGAACGTATATGAAGGACTCACAACCAGTGGGTTCGCGAACGGTCTCAAGTCTTCATCCCCTTCGAGAACTGCGGTCGGAATAGAGAATGTAACCCACAGTCGTTTACCACAGGTGTCTGGAGGAGGGTTAATGCCTTCATATTCTCCTGTCACTACGCCCCGCATAAAGCTATCATATCCGTCCGCTCCAACAATCACATCAGCCTTGAGCTTTTCCCCGTTCCCTAATGTCACCGAAACGCTTTCGGAGTCGGCGTCAACAACATCGGCTTGGAACATGAACTTTACACCTGCTTCACTGGCAAGTTCGTGAAGCGCGTAATGGAGTTCAGAATGCTGTCATGTCAGGCAGTGAGCATTGTGGACATGCTGCGTGCAACATACAAGCACGCACCTCGATAAACAGGAAATCCGCCAGGAGATGCACCAGGAATGTCTCCTGCATGATCACGGATCCGATAGGTTCGCCATTTGCCCCTATTTGATTCATTCAATTGAGGAATTGTGGGCATACTGAGATAAGACACGCACCATTGTGGAATGTAAAGGTATCGCATTTGTGCGACATTTTGGCAAGAGCAGGAGCTAAGCCCCATTGGTTCAGGATTCGAGTCATGTTGGGCGGGGAACTACACATAGTACGTGGGTTCAGTTGCTTTCCAATTCAACGAATGTGGCTCGGCGATCCAAGAACATACCGGAGACCTCCTTTACACTTTCCAATAGAAGACAACGATTAGACCCAAAAGTCAACTATAGACAAAGTAGAGACACCGCAATACCTTGCTTACCACAGAATGCCCATCACTCTTTTCAATTATGAGAACACTGTGACCTGCTTTTCTTAACGTGTATGCAGTTGCGAGACCTACAAATTGGGTGATATCCCCAAGGTTAGATAGATCGCCCAGGGAGCATCAATAACAGTGACTTGCCTGCTATGCTTCCCCCGACAACTATGAATTTGAGGCTGACGCTCGCTCTATTCTTGTGGACGGAGATTTGGCCGGGCATTGATTCGTATTGTGGGCCCCAACAGGCGGAGGGAGGTATCGAAGGTTGGCCTGGGAGAGAAGAAAGTGGGCGTTAGACACGCCGCTCTTGAAGCATATATAAGATGATGATAGATCCTACACGCCTGACATCAGTTCCATATTGATCTTGAAATCAGATCCTGGGACCAGGGACTGAACAAAGAAGATTGGGCTTGGTTGGGACGGTAAACCAGAACACGTGAAGACTAGATGTCGCCCAAACTGACGACACACGGTGGGACCTGGCAGGAGTTGAGCTCGGAGAGAGTTTGGAGTACTTGCCTACATTAGGTGCTACACATACTCAGGGTCCTCCTAAGCCATTCGAGTGAATAGACTTTAGGTAGAGACGACATTGTTTATCAGTATCGTTCCGATTCTCCAAGGATTTCCCGACAGTCCCTAACGCATGCGATTTGTAAAGGACAGCCTCAAAACGAGATCAAAACGGCACTTCCTAAGTTCCTTGATTGAGAACATGTTGCGCAGTCACCAGCATTCGGCCAGAAAAGTCTATGCTGGGAAATTACTGTGAAAAGAAGTGGGATGGGAATGTGGAACCAGCGGTACCACCTGAGCAACAGAAATGGCGCGGTCGCCGTCGTAATGTACAATAGGCAAAGTTTTGTGAACAACGTGAACACTGAAGGATGCTTTCACCCTGGTTTCTCAACTGTCAAATTCAAAGCCGACGGCATTTACCGAGACCGAGGACGGAACCAATCATGAATTAGGGGAATCTGGAGTACGATTGTGCGGCGGGTCGGAATCAAGATGGCTGGCATAGTGTTTTGCGATGTACCCACAACTGTGACTGTTGGAGACTTTTGGTTGGGGTGTTGTGTTTTACATTTGGTTATCAATCATTGTGTCCGATGCGAAGGTTGTTAACTGTGCCATTTTGTTCATCATTTTATTCGTGCGGCGGCGAGAAGTTGCTATTGTACAGAAGATGGCAAATGCGCATTCGATTTTTCATTGCCCACGTCGGAATTGACGTCCGCATCACTCCCGAAGGTCAGAGGCGTAAGTATTTGGAGACCCCAGACTTGATAGTCCCGACACCCCAACGTCGTCTATATCCGTTTTGAATTTCTTCTTACGGAAACCGATTTCCAAATGAAAAGGTAACATGCGGTTCCTGCAAACGCAACGACCTATAAAATCGCACATTTAGCATATTTGGAACAAGTATCAATAGAATGACGTACAGCTGCGAAGATAAGAGGCCGTTGCCAATGGTGTTCTGAAGTGAGGAGCGCTCCAGCGATGGGGTTACCTGTCAGCAAGGCGAATGCCAACACAAAAGATAATGCCCCAATACGAATCCTGATCAATCATCAGAGAAGTGGTATTATGGACAGGCAAGTCAAAACATACCCTAGATCAGAGAGGTCCGCATGCGTGATGAAAGACGCAACAGCAGGCGTAGTGAGAGAGACCACTGCAGTACCCGAACACAAAAAATCAGCCTCGCATCTGAAACATTGGCAACTACGCCTGCTTACCTCCTCCAGAGAAGAAACCATAAACAATTCCGAAGCCAGCCACTCCAGCAACGTTTGTGGCACCGAATAGCGCAAACATCAGTGCACCGCACACGCCAGAAGATGCAATCAAAACTGTAAAATGCCGGTGAGTAAACATGGAATTAACGAGGAACTCGTGGCTGCCACACGTACTGTTAAGTGGGCCATAGAAGTCTGCAACGACATTTGGGAGTATCCGTCCAAAAATAGACGAGGCGTTCATGATTGTGATCTACTCGTCGTTTTTATCGGTTAGAACAGAACAATAGTCCACAACGGCTGATCGACGCACCGAATACTTCAAAAATTGTGCATCTACCGAATGGAGAGCGGCGTAGAGCTGGAGGTAGAAAACTGTGTAAAGTGTCAGCGAAAGATAAATGAAGACGTTTGGCAGCTTACATGGCACGAACAGACCCCAGAATACCTATTGACGCACAAGGTTATATGAGTTGCT